CCACCACAGGGTCCATCAAGACAATCATTTCTATAAACCAAATAATTTGCGTCCTTCTTAAGCTTATGGTCAGGTTTAAGGAATGTTTTAGTTATAACGGCAATATGCACGTTATGAACTCTCAAAAAGTTAAATAGCTCGTCTTCATTACCTTTAAGAGATCGAACATTCCAATTTATAATATTTAATGCTTTAAAATCCATTACTGAATTTTAAAGTCCTAACAATATTATTTGCAAATTTTACCCCAGTTTGAATAGCATCAAACATGGAGTTAGATTTAAGCATATCAGAAATCATGTCAATTAATGATTTCTGTAAAAAAAAAATCCATTTTAGGGGCAGTAATGCTTCCTAAGTCAAAATTGTCAAAATTTCCGTTAGAACATTGGTTAATATTTTGATTTCTACCCACTGCAATAGCAGCATAGGTAGCTCCATTAACTCGCTGAACATTGTTAGCAGCGAGGGGAGTAGGTACAGCTGAAAAATTTGAAGCAGGGGTGATATTTGTACCTACGGGTTCGAATGTAGAATTTGTTCCTCGCTGACCGTTGTTAACAGCAGAGGAATTTGTACCTGGTCGGAAACGTGGAGCGTTTCCTACCTGTCGGTTAGAACGAGATTGTAGGATCGCTTGCGAGTCTTACATTCCCAAAAATTGAATTTGTGGTTTTCACCACAATTTGAACATTTAAATTTCTTAGGATCTCTCTTCACAGGACAGTTGTCCTTTGCGTGAGAGGAATCACCACAATTCATACATTTAGCTGGCATGTAGCAATTTTTAGTTCCGTGACCCCATCCCTGGCACTTACGGCACTGAGTGGGGTTTGAAAATTTCCTCCAGTCTTCCTGAAGTGTTCCCACTTCACTTGGACATGAAGCATAAGGCTAGCTTGTTCTAAGGCCTTAAGGTTGTTTAGTTCACTAGACTTGAAGTGAACTAAATAAAAATCATTAGAAATCCGGTGGCGCGAATCGGCAGGACGGGATTTCATTTTCATTTTGATTACTAGGAGTGGCACAACTCCAAGTAATTTTGCCAGTTCATCTTTGATCTGATCCAGGGATTCACCACTGGGCAGTCCTTTCATGACAACCTTGAACACACGTTCAGTTTTGGTGTCGTAAGTAAAAAAAAATGTGCTGCTTTTCAGTAAGATACTTGAGAAGACATTTAAATCCGTCCAAGGTTTCAGCCAATACACGGCATTCACTCCGACGTCCAATTTGTAGTGAAAACTTAACTTTCACGAAATTCAAAAGTTCCATGCGAAGAGAATGGAAATCGGAAGTGGTTATCACAATAGGGGGAATCTTTTCCTTCTTGGCATTAAGCCGGGAAAGTTTACTAGAATTTTTCTTGGATGATGGATCATTCTCATCATCCGTGAGCAAATCAAATTGATTACTCAAATTAATTTCATCAGAAGGGGGGTCAAGAGTTTACCCCTTTCTTTTGCGTGTAGGCACCATGTTGGCAGTAAAATTAAAATTATCCAAATCGACTTCCAAGCAGATTACTATAAGAATCTGAAGGATCGAAGAGGAATTTTCCAAATCGATATCCAAGAAGGATTACCTCGGGTAGGGTCCAAACAAGGATCGAAGAGGAATAAGAATTGAACAAGGTAGAACATTTTTTACAGGTTGAGCACTGAAAAGTGCTGTTTAAATTTGTTGTAGCATAAGGTAGTAGTAACACTTCCTTCAGCAAAAAGCAAATAGATCCGCACGGCAAGAGAGTACGATGCGGACTGAGCAAAGGACAATGTTTATGATTACCTCTCACCCCAGCAGGCTTGGGTTCAATCCCAGTCGGCGCCCCCGGGATGTTCTGAGGCATAACATCTCTGATCACGCCTTACTTCGGAAGGGAAGTAAAGTAGATGGTCCCCGGTTCATGAGTTGATGGGTCGATAGGTAGAATCCAGGTGTGGGAGCTCGACGGCCAAAAAAAAAAGGACAATGTTTGATAACGGCACGAATCGAACGAGTATTTTTTTTTGCTTGATTTGTTTTCCGTGCTGAGCACCAATGCTACCGACGCCAGGGAGGCAGCTCCCACACCTGGACCCTACCTATCAACCCATCGACTCATTGACCGGGGACCAACGGCTTTACTTTCCTTCCGAAGGAAAGCGTGATCAGAGATTTTATTCCTCAGAACCCAGCCTCTTTGGGGTGAGACGCAATCTATTTATTTATTTATTTATTTATTTATTTATTTTTTTATTTATTTATTTATGCGAGAAATTATAATATTGCATTAATTTGGGTTTTGTCATTGTAAAGTCAATGTTATCGCAGTGCTTATTATATGTGTCCATCATTTGGTTCAAGGGTCCAAATTTGGCATAATAAATCATGTTAATAATTGTGTTATAATGACCTGTGAAAGTAAGTTTTGAGTCCAAAATAACACCTAGATCCCTGACTCTATCACACTTTTATACAATCTGGTTTCCTAAAGTGATTGTTATATCGGGTAGGATTCGTTTTCTACTAATGGTAATTGATTTACATTTTTTTATATTTAATTGTAGCACACATATAAAAATCCTGAATTTTAATAGTGATGTAAACATTCATTCACTCACGTAAACTTGTATTTCATTTCACGCAACCGAGCAACTTGTAAACAATATTGTTTGCAATAATGGACTTTTGTATACAATATTTGCTACTTTGCATGAAATGTCTCAGAACTTTACATGATATATAAATTAAACTTGTATGATATGTGACGCTCCATTTATAAACAGAAATTTACACTACTTTTTCCTACTGTGCAGGTTTTTATGACACCAATTATGGAATATCTGTATTTCCTCTTTTTATATGATGATGTCTTTGGCATCTTTTATTTCCAAAAACAGTTTAATGTCGTCAGCATGGATTAAAACTTTCAATTTCTTTAGAGTTGGTTGGGAATGCTAACATGAAGCTTTAGTGTGACAATTTCTTAGTAATGAAAGATATGCCATTGACGAAGAGAATAAATAAAAGCGGACCTAAATGAGAGCCTTGAGGAACTCCTGGAGTGATATCAACGGGATTTGATGTTTTTCCTTTGTATTTTACTATTTGATGGCGGTCAGTTTAGTATGATCCTAGCCAATTGAGGAGTGCGCAATGAATTCCCATTTTTCGAAGTTTAAACAGAAGCATGGGTATGTCAATTCGATCAAACGCTTTGCTGAAATCTGTGTACAACACTTCTACATGGTTTCCATTCACGCTTATCACTACACGACCGGCGCCGCTGAACGAGTATTTATTTTGCCAAGCTATCTATCTAGGGGAAATAGCTCTACACAGCAAAAAAATAATTTTGATATCACATCAAAGTGGATGCACTACAATCATGTCGAAAATTTCATGTAATTTTTATGACCACATAAATAAACAAATGCAGTAAAAGCAGCGTAATGTCAGTTCATGCATTGTATTAATGATAATTTTGTCCTTTTTAGCAAGTAATATTACACCATATTTTCGACATGATTGTAGTGCATCCACTTTGACGTGATATCAAAATTATTTTTTTGCTGTGTAATGTTGGCCTATACACAGATAAAAATTCTGAATTTTAATAGTGATGTAAACATTCATTCATAAACTTGTATTTCATTTCACGCAACCGAGCAACTTGTAAACAATGTTGTTTGCAATAATGGGCTTTTGTATACAATATTTGCTACTTTGCATGAAATGTCTCAGAACTTATATAATGTAAACATATATGATATATGACGCTCCATTTAAGTGCATCATACAAAACAGAAATTTACCCTACTTTTTCGAACTGTGTAGATTGAACTAAGATTGGGCCCATCGATAAAAATCTGCTATTTATCATTTTGTTTAATGCGTCATTGGGTCGGTACTTATGGATATTTTTGTTCGCTATTGAAAATTTAGTCGATTGCTGAATTTATGTATGGGCCCAATTTAGCGGCATTTAGGTTGACATTACATCAATTTCCCCTATACAAATATTTATCGAAACTTTCAGCACTGAAAGAGGAAAACTTTCAAAACAAACTGCTGTCAAAACAATCCAAAGCTGACCACTAGTAGCGTTGCTATAAATTAATCTGTGGAGGCGGATTCTAACTGAAGCAGATTTTATGCCCAAAATTTTCCTTCTACTTGACGATTAATTATAAAGTTCACATCGACAGAAAATGACTATTTGTCATTCATTGAATTAGCGCAAAACTTCAGTACTGAAAAAAAAACCCATCGCCAGCAGCAGTCGTCACACAATGCAACAGGGTGTGTTCAAGTGTCTGTCTGTGTAGGGGGTGGATGGTACAGTAAAGCAGTTAAAGTACTGCGCTGAGTTGAGAGCAAAATGCAAACAATCAGACCCAACACCCAACCCCGTGGCGGACGACCAGCGTAATTTGATTACATCCAAACGGAAGCGAAAAAAAAAATCGGTGCCATTTAACGGTTGGTCAGCAAATCTGAGCAAGGGGTGCTGGAGGAGGCACAAAGTATAAAACTGCATTTCCTCCATGAATCTTTGCAAGTGACGACGACGACTACGACGACGGTGGTTGTAGTCGAATAAAAAAATTAAAAAAAAAAATCCCAGAGGGTTGTGAATGAAGAAAATTAAATTTTCCTATTTTTCTCCTGTTCTCTTGCAGATGCTTGCGGATTTAGACGTTGCTTCTATTCCGCGGAACGGTGCGGTTGCATCTGGGCAATATTACCGGTGATAACGTCCGCAAGGTGCCCAGTCGTAAAATGTGAATGAAAGAAACGAGGGATGCTGTAGAGAGAGAGAGAGAGGGAGAAGAAAAAAGTGCTTGACATGCAAAGTGGAAATAGTGCAGTTGATAGCACTGCGAAAAATATGTGTATTTGGGTTGACTGATAGTAGCTTGAAGATCATATTATAGTCGAAGTTATAATTGTTTGGTAGCCATTATTTTGATATTTTTTTCATGTTTTAGTGATTCATTATTTTGTTCTTCTCACAGTGCACCGGAAAAGCTGTGTAAAAGTAGCGGAAATCACCTCCCAACACGTAGTCGACGTAGTAGAAGAGTGGAAGCTGTTCTGGTAGTTTAATTGAAAGTTGGACCATTTGACGGTTGAAGAGAAGATTAAAGTGAGTCTGGCGGTGTGCGAAAGTGTGGTTTTTGTATGGAAGCAAAAAAAATGTGGATCCCTCGGCCAAATGATAGAAATTGAAACCGTCTATGCTGAAAGGGGTGTAAATTTGTGAGAAAAAGTGAAACAGAGTGCCACATTTGTGGAAACCGTTGCCTAGAACGAGCGACGTCGACGTTGGAAGCAGGAACAGGAACGATTGCTGCCCAAAACGCTAGGCTATCTTCCTTTTCACCGCTGCACAGGGCACAGTACAAAGCAGCACGATGGAATTAAGGATTGTTCCGGTGATTCAATTTGTCACGATCGTTGCCGCATTCAAGCTGAGCGCCGTTAGCTGTGGTGAGTAAAATGGAGTTGGTGATTCGATTAATCTGGCTGCGGAAAGGGAGTTTTAACTCTTTTGTTGGGTGTTGTGTGAATCTATTTAGTTTTTTTTAGAAAATATTTTTTTTTAGAGCTGCTTCATGAAGAGCCTGATTATATATTCGATAACACTGTATTACAGCTGATGCTGGGTGACCAGTGAACCGGAAATGCCGGGAATTCTAAGTCACTCTTCGAAAAAAAAGTAAATTTTGGATAAAATAAAAGTCCCATGGACTGGACTAAATTTTCTATCCTATAATAAGACCCCTTTAAGTCTGATATTTGACGTTGAGCTTCTCCAAATATGTAAACTAAATTTTTAAAGCCTGTCATTTTCATGCAAATATGATGCCATAGAAAAAGAATCCATATCGGTACCATTGACCTGTTCCAGATTCGATGCTTCGGGTCTTTGCGGGTTTTTAATCACACAGGAAGTAGCTGGAGTGCCCATAAATGATTTGGTTGATTGCTGATCTGAAATATAGGCAGGGAAATGTGTTTTTCAGCAACCAGGAAATGTTTCAATTGACCTACCATAAAAGTCATCATATACAAAAGCCGTATCAAAGGAATCGTCTAGCGGTTTTGGCGCATGTTTATTCTGTATCGGATCGCACAAGGATCCAGCGTTGCCAGATTTTGTTTGGGCTTATCGGTATCAATGGTTAAAAAAAATCGATATTTATCGGTATTTACAATTTTAATTCATTTTTATTTTGTTGCTTCGAAAGCGAAAATTTGAACTTTTGGACTAAGAATGACCTTTCGAGGAAATTCAGAAGAAATTTCTGGGGAATGTTCTAATGAGTTTCTGTAAAAAGCCGAAAAACTTCCAGAGAAAGGAGAAAGAAGTTTTCTGGAGGAAGTTTGTAGAAAGTTCTACTGTGTTTCCTGACTTATAACAAATATACGTTGTATACGAATACCCCAAATACAAAGTAAAGTTCGACTGATTTTACATTGCAAATGCTATGCAAAATTAGACGAGTCATACGTTGTATACGGGGTACTCGTATACAACGTATATTTGTCATAAGTCAGCACTAGCGTGCACAGGAATCTTGTTACGGAGGGGCATTTTTTTTTTCTTAGGGGCATTTAATCTTGGGATGGGGGAATACTCCAAAGTGCGTGGTGGATGGTGCTGTCCACCCACCACTGTTTTTCTACTGTTCAATTTAGCAAATTTTTTTTTTATTTTCTTGCTCCGGTGGTGATTCATCTTCTTCAATGCAAACTGCATTCAGACAGCCAATGGAAATTAGTTCTATTTTTTTTCAAATTTTTACCTAAATGCCAAAGCTAATAAGATCATTAAAAAGGTTTAAAAATATGTAAAGATTCAAACAAATGCGCACAAAACTATTTTGACAAGTGGGTACAATATTGTTAACGGAATGACGACTTGTGCGAAGGATTGAGCATGTCAACGCTGTCTCAAAGTACCGCCAGTCTGAGTGACAGAAAATGATGCCAAACATTCAACATGTTTAAAAGATGATATAAAGAACAAACCCGAATTTTTTGCAACGCACATCAACAGCTGTAACTTTTCAAAAACGGTAACAAATGACTTGAAATTTTCAGGGAAGATTCTTAGATGAATTTTTAGTACGACAACAATAGACTAAGGTTCAATGGCAAACTAATACCCACTTTTCAATCAGGGAATCCAAAAGCTGTCTTTAAACTTTGTACAGTTGCAAAAAATTCCATCCTCAGAATTCCTTGAGGTTCTTTTCGAAATTTTTAAAAATTTATAAGTTCTTTTGAAATTCTTCTCAGAAGTCCTCTGGAATTATTTTTAGAACTCTTCTTCACTTTTACTCAGAACATCTTGGAACTGAAATTCCCTTAGAGTTTCAGAAGAATTTCCTCAGTATTATCCAGAAATTATTCGCGGAATGAGCTAGAAATTATCGGTACTCCCTTGAAATTTTCCTCAAAATCCCTTGGAATATCACTCGGAATTATATATAACTATCTGTAGGATTCACTAAAAATTATTCGCAGTATTATCTTGGAATACTCCCCAGAAATCCTTTGGAACTGTCCTCAGAATTTAATATCCTTGAGGTTCTTCGCGGATTTTTTTTAAAACTCTCCTAAGAGCTTTATTGAAATTCTTCTCAGAAGTCCACTCGAATTATATTTAGAACTCTTCATATTTTTTTTTTTCTCAGAACACCTTGGAACTGAAATGCCCCTAATGTTTCAGAAGAATTTCCTCTGTATTCTCCAGAAATTCTTCCCAGAATGAGCTTCAAAATTTCCTCAACATCCCTTTGGAATTTTATTCAAATTTGATTTTCTCGATATTCTTTTTGAAATTATCAAGGAACTATCTGCAGGATTCACTTTAAATTTTTCGCAGAATTTTCATGGAATCACCCCCAGAAATCTATTATTTTGGAACTGTCCTCAGAATTCAATACCCTTCTTATCGAAAGTCAAGTTTAAGTCGTCCGTCCATTCACCAAAACGTTGTAGTTTTTTCTACCAGAAATGTTCAATAAAGCTTGCCCCTCCATTCACCAGAATTGTGCAATTTTTACATCAGGAATTCTCAATTCAGCTTGCCTCTCCATGCAGCAGATTGTTGCAAATCTTACACCAGAAATGCAAACTTGCCCCCAGAAAATTTTACACCTGAAAATTTCAATTGACCAGAACGATGCTAATTTTCCACCGTTAATGTTCAATAAAAATTGCTTCTCCAATCTTCTGATTAGTGGCAGGAAATAATCATTTTGATTATTAAACAATCTGTATAAAACGGTATAAAATATCAAAAATCGGTATTCTGAGGAACCTTATTTGTATATCGGTATTATGTTCAAAAATCGGTACAAATACCGATAAATCGGTACATCTGGCAACGCTGCAAGGATCATCTGTGATGTCAAAAATTACTTCTGGCACATCGTTTGTAGTTCCCGGAACATGTTCTTTTCTACTGCTGAGTACAGTAGGCATGGCTGAACTATCAGAATTATTAGTAGAATACCTTTTCTATGGTCATTGTGGCACAATTGACAACAACAATGCACTTATTACGTATTTTTTCCAGGGAATTTTCTATTCCAATTCCCCTTATGATCTTCCATCGAACATTAACATTTTGTATATTCTTAATGTTATTCTTCATGATTTTGTAAGATATTTCTGAGAGTTCCTACTGTAACGTGGTGCGTTTATTTCGTTTAAATTTTAAGCTTAATTTAGAATAACTAAGACGTAATCTGACGTAATTAATAATTTCAATGCAATAAAAATGAGTGATTCGTTTCAAAAGAGCAAAAGTGTCTTGGCCACGTGCACTTGTCAGGATTGTATTCGTTTCCGATGCAATGTAGCAAAAAGAACGGTGATATGTTCATTTGTCGGGATTTTTATAGCAAGATAAAAGTTAGCTTTGTAGATTTGAAGGTTTTATTGCAAGCTAAATAGCAGATGTAGCTTTGCTTCATAGCTTGGTAAATACGTGAAAGATATAGGCACAGACAAACAGACATAACACTCACAATCACATTCATCGCAAATAATGTTTTAGTTGGGAATGTACCAGTATTTGTCATGGTGGCGCCACTGAAGCGTTGAGCAAGCAACCACATTTCAAACTTATCAGTGATGCCAGTTCTTTTTCACTTCGATTTATTAGATGTCAGCTCTTGAAAATGATAAGTGGTCAAGGCATCCCACTGGAGGCACATACCACATCTGACGAATGCAGAACAAATTGTTGTTGAATATTACAAACAAATTGCTGCACATTAGTCATTTGCTTGTTCCTAATATTACGCTGAACGATGTACACAGAATTCGAGAACAAATCATTTTGATGACTGTAATATTATATCAACTTTTACCAGTTATTGATGTTCAATACTTCGCCATGAATATCATTGATTAATACATGTTATATTTTTTGCTGCGTACACATTAAAGTTATGAGCGGTGGTACAAATGGCACTCATTAGTGTTGCATTACCTAGTTTAAAAACTTGTTTCCAGCAAAAGAAAAAGTACACTAAACAAACAAAACAAATCTCTAAAAAAAAAGTCTGAGCTTCTGAGAATTTCTCCTGCGGTTCGGTATTTCTGCAAAATTCAATCAATTCTATAGATCTACGGAAAATTTCGTAGAACCGACATCACTTACTTCCATCTGTTTTGTTTTTATTCAACACAGCGACGCGTTGACTGAACGAGGGAAAAGCAAATAGTGAAAAAATTGCATGAACGAGGGATGCTCCGGTTGCAAAACAATGCTTGGGAATGTGGATGATAGATGGTGCTAGTGTGCATGCAAAATACGTTTGACGATATTTTTTGAAAAATTTTCTACTAAGAGTTATGTCTGTTTGTCTGTGATATAGGATTCAAATGAATACCTGAGTAAAATGGCTAAGCCAAACGTTGATTTTTCTCGCCAGATCCGATCCGATCCGTGGTTTCTTGGGAAAAAGAAATTCTAGTCTTTGTCATTTCGCTTACATATCGGCTGGAGAGCAGTAGTGTTTGATGCGGTTTTCAGGTTCGTTAGTCAAGTGTGAACCTAGTGAAATTCGATCAAAAAGATAAAGGTGATCAGTGTTGGGAAAATATTAAAAAATCAAATCTCACCAACTCCGAAGATCACGCCTGATTTTCGTAGACAAAAATAAACAAGCATATAGCTGCGGTTGATTTTGCAAGCTGTGATATCGCAGCTCAGATTATCCTGGGACGGGACTTGACAATCGGGTAGCGATTTCGAGCCAATTTGCTGTCAATTTCGAGCCAGTTGCTGATTGGTCGATTTGACAGTAGCAATCGTGGAATAAAAAGGACAGAGGGATCACATCAATCTGACTGGCAGCGATGCCGGAATCAATGTTGACGTCGCTGGCGTTGTTAATTGTTTATATTTGTGAAAGTAAAGTTGGAAATAGGGTCCACGGCGTGCTTTAAGCGATGGATAATCTTGT